GATCAGGTGGAATGGGTACTGGGAAGACCAGCTGGTGATGAGATGGGAGCCCCCAGTGGGCATTGTGGCCAGTGATGTCAGACTGGCTGAATGGCCACAGAATGCTGAAGTGAGCAGTGAAGACTCCCAAGTCACAGAAAGGGTGAGCACAGGTTTTCCAGAACCTCAAGGATAAGTTCTTCACAGACACCATTATTAAGAGTGAGAAAAGTGAGGTTAAGCAGGGCATGATGGTGTAATCCCAGTGGCTCTGGAGGCTGAGGCAGGAGTGCAAAGCCAGCCTCAGCAAGTCAAGGTGCTAAGCAACTCAGTGAGAGCCTGTCTCTAAACAAAATACAAAAATAGGGCTGGGGATGTGGCTCAGTGGTAAAGCACCCTAGGGTTCAATTCCTGGTGCCAAAAAAAAAAAAAATTAGAAGTTGGGATAGGGGAGTTTGGGGGGGGGGGGGGGGGCGTCCAAAGAACAGACAGCATCATGTTTGGTGATGGGATGCTGTACGAAGGATGTCCCTGGGGGAACTGTTGCCAAAAACTCAGTCCTTGTCCCAGATGCCAACCCATTAACAAGGACATGGTTTTGAGAAAAAGGAAAAAGTCTTATTGCTTTGCTAGCAAAGGAGAAACACAGGGGACTCCTGTCCCAGAGGCTGTGATCTGCCCAACAGCAGGAGCAGGGGGCTTTTAAAGAAGTGGCTCAAAGGCTACATTCCATATGTTCTCTGTTGGAGTTGTAATTTACTTGTTAATTTGGGAGATGGTAATTTCTGAGATCTTCTGATACCATCCCCAAAGACTGGATGACCTTGTTTCTGTGGTGGGTGTGTGCTCAGGGTAATCCTATTTCCCTTGAGACTGGGGAGGGGAAGAGATTAGGGAGGAGCAGGGAGAGAGGAAGAGAAAGAAACCTGTCCATTTTAAAAATCAGTTGCAGTGGCAGAGCAGTAAGGGTTATATTCAAAGCATAAAGTGGACACTGTTATGCAACGAGCATAGAGCAGACAATGACTTGGACAGATCAAGATCAGGAAGATAGGCAACTGTGAACCTGAAGTTTTAAAGCAAGTTCACTTGTTTTATTGAGATGCTGGGGATGGAACCCAGACACTCATGCATGTTGTGCAAGTGCTCTACCACTGAGCTACACCCCAGCCCTGTTAACTAGTTTTGCTGGTTAGAAGCTTAACAAGTAAGGGATATGGTTCAATGGTAGAGCACTTGTTTAGCATGCACAGGTCCTGGCTCCATCCCCAATGCCTCAAAAGAAAAAGAAAAAGAGTATAGGCTTCTTCTGATAAATTCAGTTAACTATTTACAGCCAATATTTTGAATTGCTAGGAAGAGCTGAACTCACAGGAGCTCAGGTGGCACAAACCATGAATATTTGCACCCCCACCCCCACCCCGGGGCAGCATTAAGGGATTCTGAGCAGGAAATCAAGGCCAAGACCAGGGCCCCAGGAGAGGCGGGGGCTAGATGCAAGCTCACTCCTGCTCTGAGCAGAAGCTGTGGCTGGACAGCACGTTAGGGCCCCAACAGTCCTGGAGCTGCTGGGTGACAGTGACAGGGGCCAGGCACTGTGGCTAAGGTTCCAGGGAAGAGGGCGGGCCACAGCTGACCTGGAGGGGGTTATTGAGCTCAGCAGGGAGTTTAACAGGTTTCCCAGAACTTCTCTCAGGAACATCTCTCAGGAGGAGCCTGTCCCCATACAAGGTGATAGTCTGGCTGCCAGTTAACCTGAAAATGAAAAGATTTACTTGGTTGGTAGGTGGGAAGCACGGAAGAGGAGGTCATCCTGGGTGGGAGCAGACACTCCATCTGCCACAGCGGAGGAATTCTGAGCAGGAAAGCAAATCCACTGGGCTCAGCACCAGGTCAGGGTGGAATATGAATGAAGGACATGACTGACAGCTGGGTGGTAGGCACCACTGTCGGGAAAGGTTTTCTCTCCATTCTGTGTGCTGTGAAAGCCATGAACGGGATGCAGTTCAGAGGCAGACTGGGCTCAATCTCAGTCCTGCAAAATTAAAATAATTTTTTAAAAAGAGGCTGGGCATGATTCACAATAGCTCAGTTGTAGAGCTGGTCCAGTTGCCTGTCAATAGTTGAATAGAATAAGACGATGTGGAATATTTACACAGTGGAGTTTTACTCAGCCATAATGAAGGAGTTATGGCATTTGCCAGTAAATGGACGGAACTGGAGAACACCATGCTAAGTGAAATGAGCCAGACTCAGAAAGTCAAGGCTGTGTTTTCCTCATATGTGGAAGCTAGCACAAAGAAAGGTAAGAAAGGAGGGATGGTAAGATATCACAAAGACAGGGAAGATCAGTGGAGTAGAAGACTGGAGGGCAGTGAAGGGATGGGAAAGGGGAGGAAATGCGGGATACATTTAGCAAAATCATGTCATGTGCACACAGAAATATACCATGGGGAATTTCACCTTTATATATGTGTGGAAAGCACCCATCAAAATAAATGAACAAACGAGGAAAAGGAAGATCAGCAGCACAGAGGAAGGAGACTAGGGGGAGGGAGGAGACAGGGAAGGGGGCAGCAGGGACTGAAATCAAATACCACGCATGTAAGATTTCATCAAAATGAACCCAATGTATACCTATAATGCTCTAATTAAATTTTTAAAATGGGGGGCTGGGGGTGCCTCAGTACCCCAAGCCCTGAATACTACTGTGCAATGGGGGTGGGTGCACTTCATAAATCACAGATCTGTGCCACCTGGGTCCTTCGTGACACAAAATTCATAAATAAGATGAAAGGGCAAACCTCATGTGCACTGGGAGCATAATAATAATAATAGTAGTGGTAATAATAATAAAACACCCAGCAAGTAAGAGTGTTGTGGATGAAGACAACCAGGAGCCCTCGAGCACAGCTGGTATGAACCTAAAAAGAAGCAGCTCCTGTGGAGTACGTCCTCCCAAACAGGGTTCCTGTATGAGCCAGTAATGCCACCTCCCAGCACCCTGGGAAGAACTAAAATCAGGGTCTCTAGGAGACGTGTGCACCCGTGTTCATTTCTCACAGCGGCGAGGTGGAAGGAAGGGACTCCCAGTGCACACCACCGAATGGGTAGGCCTGGAGGAAAAGAGCCAGCACAGAAGAAATGTGGTGGGTGGGGAATACTTGGTCAGGAAGATGTTCTGATGCGGTACTGCTGCACGAGGTGGCTGTGTACCTGGCTGAACCACACCTCGACAAGGTCAGGAGGTGATTCAGAGGTCACATATTATTAAAACAGGTTTGGATCTGCTGGCCAAGGGGGCACTGGCAAGCCACAAGGGCACTAACCTGAGGAGTGGCCCTTGGGGACCCTTTTAGAGCCAGTCGTGGGCTGAGGCTGGGGATGCCCCACCACTCACCAGGGCAGATCAGGATGCCTGGCACAAGATGAGTTTGAGATGGTCCTCTCCAGTAGGCAGGGTGAAGACGCAGCGCTTTGGGCAACATAGGCAGGTTTAAAGTCTAAGGAAACTAGCCAAGGAACTTAGGGGAGCCACAAGCTTGGCCCTTTCAACTCCCTCTGCCCCTAGAGCACACAGCCAAAACACGCTCCTCCCCAGATGAGAAGAGGGCCAGTGCAGGAGTGTCCATTCACTATAAGCAGCAGGGAGGCAGGGGGCATCTCTCTGGTCCTCAAGGACCTCAGCTCAGAGAAACTGATCTCTTACAGGCTGAGGGTGGCAGAGGATCCATCCTTAGAATGTGGGTGTATTTGCTGGGAAATACAGAAATCTTTTTCTTTTTCTACCCTTGGATACTGGGGATTGAGCCCAGGGCACTCCACCAGAGCTGTATCCCATGCTTTGTTAAAAAGTTATTTTCTATCCCAGTCTTGTCTTAACTTTTGAGACAGGATTCTGCCAAGTCTGAGGCCCCCAGGCAGGGGGCCTGTAGTGTCTCCAGTGGTGTCTCTGACTTCCCAGGGGGTATGCACTTGTACGGGTTGTTTGCAAGCTTGGCTCATCCAAAAGGCTTTGGGGGCTTGCAACTCTCAAAACAGAATGGGGGCACATGGCACATGTCTTAGATGAGGTGACATCCAAGTCAGCTCCGGACTGGTTCTCACAGAGTTCCAGGACCTATTTGGTGTCTCCCCAGAGGATGTGGGGGAGGGGCTGTGGCCCTGCTACCCACTGGGCAAACCCCTCAGCTGTGTGGCCCGGATGGGCTCCCATACTTGTAAAATGGGGCCATTGTCTCGCTTAAGCACACATTGTCATGCTAGTGAAGGGCCTCAGGCTACATCCTTGCCTCTGGCCACCCGCCCTCCCCCACCCTGACTCTCCAGTGCAAGGAGGGCTCAGGAACTGCAGTTGCGAAAAAACTTCTGGGTAGTTTTACTTCGAACCTCTGCTACCCAAAAGTTTAGACCCCAGCCCAGCCACCTCCCCAGGGACAAGATAAGGGCCTTCACAGGAGCTGCGCTCTAAGATCGTCTTTGTGAGGAGCGTCCGACTGAGCGCAGCCCAGAGGCTCCAGACTGGCCCAGGCTAAGGCAGGACTTCGGGACGCTCCACCCACTCAGCGCTCGGCGGACCCGGCGCGGTCACCTTCTTACCCCTCCCCCTCCGGCCTTTCAGCCCTTCCGCAGAGGGCCGATTCTCGTCGCTGGTCCCTGCCACCGGAGATTCTGGTGGGCAAGGTCCGGTGTGGACTTGAGAGCGCTGGGTGGTAACGGGGACCCGTAACAAGATACCCGGTGTCCTCCCCGAGGAGACTGCGGTCCCACAAGTGCTCAAGGTCCCAGCACTCCCCAGAGTGTCAGCAAAACATCAGGAGCAAGCTGGAGCCCCTCCCTGGACCCCAAAGCATTTTAACCTTGCCCTGACCTTTGCAGCCCCTAACCACTCATTCACAGGATCAGGTCAAAAACAATCTTTTTATTGAACGCACCTAGGTTTGGGTGGGCGTAAGGGCTGTAGGAAGGGGTCTAGGCAGACGGGGGCTCTCCCTGAAGAGGGAGGCTGGCCCGGCCGGGCCTCACTCTCGCGGGTCCCTCAGGACGCCCCGCTCTGCGGCTGCACTGCCCAAGATGAAACCCACGGCCAGGGACACCGTCTGGTCGAAGGAGCCACGCAGCTGCTCCACGTGCTGGTTCAGGGTCAGCAGCTGGTCGCGCAACGGTCCCAGGACAGCCACAATGTCGCCCAGGTGCGTCAGGGTCTGCAGCAGCGCGGCGTTCAGCGACGGGGGCGCAGCCTGTGGGGGCGCGCGGTCCTCGTGGCTGCCAGGCGGCTCGTCCGGGTCCTCGGGGGCGGGGTCCGGCGGCGGTGGGGAGCCCCGCGCGTGGCCGCGTTCGGGGGAGAGTGTGCGGAGAGCCGTCTGGGCGGGGGCCGGTGGGGAGCCCGGTGCGCGGCAGGCGTCCGCAGACTTCGGCACGGACGGGCTGAACCTGAGCGCGCAGACGGCGTCCACGTCTGGATCCCGGGCGGCCGGCTGCGGCGAGGCGCCTGAGGAGCGGAGCGCGTGGTGGGTCAGGGACCCCGGCGCGTCGCTTCCTCCCCCTCCCCCTCCCCCAGCCTTTCCTCCCGCACATACCTGGGTCGTCTGGGGCGGGCGCAGCGGCGGCCGGGCGGCGGCCGCGCTGGGGGCGTCCGGGTCCAGAGGGGCGGCGGCGGACCCGCCTGCGCCCGTTGTCGCCCAGCAGCCCCATGAGCTCGCGGATCTGTGCGTCGAAGGGCCCGGGCGGCTGGCCCTGTGCGTCGCGGAGCTTGTCCTTGAGGAACTTGTACCGCCGGCGGCACTGCGCTGGCGTGCGCCGCACCTGCTGGCGGGCCAGCGCGGCGGACACGCGGCGATAGGTGGGCAGCGCCTGGCGGCGGTCCAGCAGCAGCGAGCGCCACACGGCCGGCTGCAGCAGCGTGCCCAGCAGCAGCTCAGTCTCCCGGGCGCTCCAGGGCGTGCGCTGTGCCGATCCCGGGGACACGGGCGACTGGGGCGACTCGGGCTCCGCCAGCGCGCCTAGCGTGGTGGGACCCACAGGTGGGGTCCCGGGGCCGTCCCCGGTCGGCCGCAGGTCAGCGTCGGGACTGTCTGGCGACGGCGGCCCCGGAGGCGCGAGCGGTGGCGGCCGCCGGGGACGGAGCAGCATCCCGGAGCCGGGCCGGGGCGCGCGGTTCGGGGGTCGGGGCCTTACCGTAGAGGCGCCCGAGCCGCCCACACGCGCTCTGAGGACCCTGCGCCGCCCTCCGCGTTGGTGCCGGGTCTACGCGACCCTCCCACCGCTGGGCGCCCCGCCCCCGGCTGCCCCGCCCATCAGGCCCTCCGTGCGTCTTGGTTTACTTGACTTTACTTATGGACGCCTAGGCCGAAAAGTTCACAGAGCAGAGCTCAGCCTCTGTCCGACGTGTAAGAAATTGCAAAAACACTAGGGATCTTAGTGATCTTGTTTTTAAAGCCATGTATTGAGGTACAGTATAATACCGAAATACATGTAAGGTCTCAGGGGTCATTTTATTTTTACGCATGTGCCATGCCCTTTAATCACCGCCCATATCCAGCGGTGGAACACTTCCAGCCACAAAAATGGTCGCGCCTTCTTTTCCGACCTCAGTGTTTTTTCCAAATAGTGCTTATCCTGACTCTACTACTCCCACCCCTCTCCCCAGTGTAGTTGTGTGTTTTGGCAAATGCACATCAGGCCTGTTCATTGTACTAATCCAGGCATCAATGGGGTGTTCACCTTGAAGCCAGGCTGCTTCCCTAAGGTAGATAGAGCTTGATCTGATAGAGCATCAGCCCGCTCTTGGGCCTAAAGTCATTCACACACGCTACAGAAAGGGACCATCTTTGGCCTGGTAAAGTGTATTTGTAGCTGTCAATATAGGTAACATAAAGTACTGGGCATTTCCTCTTTGAGACTAGAACCAAGACAAGAATGCCCAACATCACTTTCATCCAACCTTATTCTAGAAGTTCTAGCCAGTGCAGTAAGACAAGAAAAAGAAATCAGATTTATAAAACTGGAAAACAAGCAATAAGATACTCATTCTTTGCAGATGGGAAGACTGTGTACATTGGAACTAAAAAATAATCTCCAGGTCCCCAATGGCAAATGGTGAGAAGATACCATCATTTGTCATTAGAGACCTAGCAAACCGACCCCCCCCACCCAAGCCAGACACTGATCACACCCAGTGATGGTGAGGAAGAATGGGTGCTCTCACCAGAGTTGGTGGGGATGCAGAACCGCAGCTACCATTTTTTTTTTTTTTTGATATGAGAGACTGTACCACTTAGTTAGGTCCTTAGCCCTTTTTGTTTTTTATTTTGAGATAGGGTTTGTGTTGGGAGGCTGCAAAATTGCAGCATATGCAGTCGAGGGGAGAAATAAAGAATGTCCACGCACTTCTGCCCCTTTCAATGGTTTATTCACTCAAATCACTCACTACAGTTTCACTCTATAGGTTCTTAATCAAGAAAACGACAATCCTTAATGCTAGGTACTGCAATAGACATAATCAATTCACAGCAAACAATTCTAGATTAATTCTAAGCACTGCAAAACCTACTTAATCATGATAAGCTAACAACAGACATTTCCTCTGCATGCTAAGTTCAAAAGTCTTAAGCCTTAGGCTTTAAGTCCAGCAGATGCACACTCACTCAGACCACGGTGATCAGGGGTGATCAGGTCCGGAACCAAGGCAGGCCTTTCCTGGCGTGGAGTGGATGACCGGTTGAGGAGGGGGTCATAGGGAGAAGTTGCAGCTCTCACCAAGGTCCAGAGGAGGCGGTAGAGTTTGAGAGCAGTGATGATCACGCAGAGGATCAGGAAAGATGACAATTGATGGGGTGTCAGGTGCTCATCAGGGTCTCCAGCTCGAGTGCATCCTTGTTTTGGCTGGCTGAATTCCTGTCTTTTATACTAAATTTGGGGGCTTTTGACCCCCCTTTCAATCCTTATCAGCTACCACTGGATTTCTGAGTGACATCATTTACCCTGGGGTAGAAACATCTGGTCTGGTGGTCTCCACCCTGATCTTCTCCCCTTCCCTCTTATTAGGCGAGGACAGCCTCCCAGGGGTGAGGGGAAGTAACTTGTTTGAGGTCATGCTGGAGGAATCTGTGGGTGTGCCTAATGAGACTGCAGGTTAAACTGGAGTTTTTAAAATGGAGTAGCTTAGGCTCAGGCTAAGGTCATCCAAACAGTTTGCTAAGTTTCTGAGGATCCTCCTGCCTCAGCCTGGTTTACATACAATAGCTACTTTTGGGACAGTCTGGTGGATTCTTGTAAAACTAAAGTATTCTCTCCCGAGGATCCATCAGGCGCGCCCATGGTATTTATCTAGAGAAGCCGAAACCAGACGTCTCCCTAGAACCTGCACAAGGACGTTTATGGACCACAAGGCAGCCCATATCTTGTCCTGTGGGGGAGTAGGATTGGGGATCAGTGGGGTGGATGCTCACTTCCCTAAACATTCCTTGGAAAGCTGCTGTGTGGGAGCATGATCTGTCCTAAGCTGGGGACCCCAAGTGTGCTTCTCTGTGAGGCAGTCGGGGTCTAGGGAGGGGGGGCACTGAGCGAGGTGAGGAGTGGGGTGCTTCCCTGGTGTCCCTGACTGTGAGAACCCTCAGACAGGAGACCAAGTCTCTAAGAAGGGAGCTGACTAGCTCTACGTCCTGCATGACATTTGGTCATCTGTGGTGTGATGTAATGAGCCACCTTTTCATTAGCTGGTGACTCTGGTCAGGGGCTTGGGTGAGGACCAGGGTGCCGCAGTCTGGCTGGGCACACAATCACGAGCCACCACACAGCTTGTAGATTCAAACAGCAACTCTTTATTCCCGAACTCACACCAGCCGTCTACAATCATGTTCTGGGGAAATCCACGTTCTCTGCCCAAATCCCCCTCCACTGGGCTTCTATCTCCAAAATATACTGTCTGAATCCCGTGAGAACTCAAGGGGAACTCAGGCAGCAGGATACGCCCTATTCCCAGCAGGAATAATCTTAAATCTTAAACCTGGAACCTAAACCGGGAACGCCCTAATCCGCCTTGGTCCTTGAGCAAGGTCACCTACATTCAATGTCACTGCAACATGGGGTACGCTGGCAAGGAAATTGTCATACCTACTTGGCTAATGGCTCCCAGCACCAGGGACTGCTTGCCTGTATCTCTTATGCCTGAGGCAGGTGAGGGCAGCCTCTGGCTGGCCACATGAACCTGGTTTGTCTGGGGCAGTACTACTTTTTCTTTCTTTGATAATTTCTTATTGTTTGTTTGTAGTGCTGGGAATTGAACTCAGGGCTTTATGTGTGCTAGGCAAGCATTCTACCAACTGAGCTATATCTCCCACCCGGGGACAGTATTTCTGGGCTACAGCTTGCTATTTTTGAGGTTCTCAGGCCTTCTCCAGGTGCCCTGTGCTGGTGCCTGGTGGCTCCTAGACGGGGCCCCTGGGGCATGTCTGTCTGTGTAGGCCACCATGTGGCTTCTTGGGCTTGCCACTGGCATGGTGGCCTCAGGGTCGTTGAACCTCCTGTGTGTTGGTGGTGTCCTCTGCTGCCGTGTGCAGGGCAGGCTCCAGTCGGCTAGGAGAGGCACACTCCTGCAGGCTGTACTGGCCCTGGGTTCTCCAGAGTCTAAGTTCACAGACTTGCTGCCCTGATGGGAGACCTTCCTGAGCAGTGTCTTCCAGCCTTGCAGGAGGGGAAGGGGTGGCACACAGGGCTAGGGCTTCAGTGACGTAGGGTGGGTGAGGCCTGGACCACTCACCTGGAATAGCTGCCACATTACTGTCCCATTGTCTTTTTGGCAGATAGCCAGGCAGATAGCAGCATTGTTCATTACAGGAACTTCCTCAGAGCCTCAGTACTTCCATAAAAACACCCAGAGTTCACACTGGAAACTCAGAAGAGCCTTAAGCTCCTCCTTTGGGGTGTCACCAGTCCTAACCGATCACGTGGGCATGAGAGCCCCCACAACAGTGCCCTACCTCACCCCATTCTGAGCCAGGGCCGAAGTCCTGGTGAGGCCTTGCTGGGTGAGCAAGGGATCCACTGTCTCACCTGTGGGCTGTGGGCCATGTTTGGGCTGCCGGGGGAACTGGCCGGGGTGAGCAGGGCACATGGCAGAACGGCCCGAGATGTGGACCTGTTTCCCAGGGTCCACAGTCCTCACTCAGCTTCGCTCCTGCCGCAGGAGGTAGGTTTGCTTTCACATTCCTGGGAATTTAAGGCACTTGGCTTCTGGTAGCACCTGAGTTAGGGTAAGTCTGCCGACCTGGGCCCTCTGGGTGTCACTGAGTGTGCAAGTGTGACCATGTGACGGTGCTGTGGCCTGGCAGTTTGGTTCCAGGCCTGGGCCAGGCACATCTGCTACTGCGTATACCTCGCCTTACCCTCGGTGGGGTATGGCTTTGGAATGAGCCACATGGCAATGGCTTGGTAGAAATGACTTTATTCAGGAATCTGTACCGCGAGACATCAGGGTGCCATGCAAACAGTGCCGAAGCCGGAAGCCCGCTGCTTCCCCAGAGACAGTTGGGCTGCTGCTGCGCTGGGCACAGACAAAATCTGAAGACGGCGCTCATCAGCAGGACACCAGGGTCCTCACAGTGAGTCACAAGGGCACGTCCCTGCACCCTCACACACGCGGAAGCAGGGCTTGGTCCCAGTGGGTTCATGTGGGGAGAACCTCAGCATTGACAGTACAGCACGCAGCTGCCCCTGAAACGTCACTAGTGGCTCACTGGGGCCACCTCCTCTAAAACACAGTCTTGGGTCTCACAGCAGGAGGCTCCTGGGATGGCCCATGTGTCTAGCAGGTGAGTCTCCCTGACCCACTGCACTCCACAGGTTCCCAGGTCCCCCGGCTAGAGGGGCTCTCCACTTGCTGAGCCAGTGCTCAATACAGACTGTCTAGACCACAAACTCAGGGAAGGGCTTGGTACCACTGGGCAGCAAGCCTCATGTCCGTGTCTGACAAAGCGCTAGTGCTGGTGCCAAGCAGAGGGACGCGGTGGTCAGGAGTGCACATGCTTGGCAGCTAAAGGCATGGGTAGCCCTGCCGCACCGGCTGTGAGGTGTGCATAGGCGCCTTCAGCTCAGGTGGCCTCCCTGCTCTGGAGCTGCTGTTAGTGCCTCAC